TTGAGTGAGGTGAAATCTCCGTAACAGCAGGAACCGACTTTTCTTCCGTTTGAGAATCTGATTGGGATGCATTGCATACCTTTTCATCATCAATATTGGCAGGAGAAGAAACACTCGCAACAGTATTACCATCTGATGGATGAATTGGCTTGGCATTACAAGACAAGTCCATACTGGAGGTGGCTGATTTCCTAGCTAAAGTCTTCACTTTATGAGCTAAGATTGATTTTCTCTTGCTGGAGGATCTCTTCTTGGCAAGAATGGAGCTTCCAAATATCCGGGACACTTTCTCAGTGACAGAAGACTTGATTCCATTTTTGCATTTTGTACTAACAACTTTTGTTCTTGCTCGCTTAGATATGGTGTCCAAACAGCTTGTGGCATCTAATGGTAAATCATTCTTCTGATTGCAGCTTGGACAATGCCACTTACCCATGGGGATACGCTTCAATAAATATCAGATTCATGCAAAAGTTAGACCAGAGCATTGCAAATCTTTACAATGTAAATAGACAATCTTGGAAAAACAGTTTATTTTAAATGTAAAGCCCGCAGGAGAAAGACTAAATGTCTGTACCAATAGCAAATTAAAGATTGAATCAACAAACCTTAAGGGGTGGATTAAGACACTGAAGATGGTAGGTCCTTGGACAGCTGTCACAGCATAACAAGTTCCCACCAAGATCACAGACCACGCATTCAAAGAAATACTGGATCAACAAATAATAAGCATATTCAACTTGGAGAGGCAAGTGCATATCTATTGCCTAATATTAGCATTTAACCATAAAATATAAGGAACAAAGTTGAATGGCATAAAATAATTCACAATCAAGAGAACTTTTTCATTAAAGAGGAAAGTTGGAGACAGTATACTCAAGGTCCATACTCCCAGTAATCATCATTTAATCATCGTTTAAAGATAACCATTTATCCCGCATGCTAGAACATTACCTTATATTAAAAGACTTGTAGCAAAAAACTAATCAGAGCTATTCTAATTAGACAGAAAAAAGAACTCATTACTCACCCCATCATTTCCTTTCTTCTTGGATGAAAACTGATCACAACGTACCTCACTTTTCACCTTCCCTTTAGCCAAAGAAATACTTCTAGGGGATTCTATTGCAAGTGACCTGTCATCCCTTTTGTTGTGAAGATCAGTAGCAGAAGGAAGCTTTCTCCTTTTGCGTTTCATGACCCAGTTTCTACTAATAACTTTACTACTCGATGATTCATCCTCATTCATCCCTTAACCCTGCGTCTTGAAAAAAATACAGGTACCACATCGTGAGTTGACATAAAGGTCAACCAGGGCAGAGCATCTAGAAAGTGCAGTCGCTTTAAATTTGATGTTCGACAGAGCATCTAGAAAACATAGTCTCTTACACTTCAAAAATATATTTTTTCTCATATAAAAATAAAAGCTTTCGTTGAAGAAACAAGAAACAATTTTGGGCAGGATACGAATGCACCTTCCATATCCACCTATACCAAAGCCATTTTTTAAACAATAGCAATATTATCCATTATAAGTTACACGTACTATCATAATATCACTTTCTTTTATGAAAAAGCGGAACATGTGACCAAGTATTACTTCCTTTTTGCATTTATTTTTAAGGCACTCTTTCATTTTAATACAAACAAACGGATGTACTTGCATCATTTTAATTCGTTAACTTAAGCGAATCCATACTTCCCCTAATCAGTCGAATTAAAAAACGCCCTAATTCATAACCAAAAAAAAAATAAAAAAAAAGTATGACAGTTTTAAAAAATCATTCATAAATACCAATTTTAAATCCACATTTATCCTTAAAAACCAACAGCTAAATTTTGATCCACTCTATGACCCCTCGTTCCTTCATCTTGCAAGAAATTCCCAATTTTCTTCCAGTCCCTTCCAATCCCTTGAGCTACCTTAAAAAGGTAAAGCAAAGCAAAACCTAACAGACAAGAGTTAGCCGACCTCCCATAAAAGGGCATCTTTTGCTCTCATCATCAGGCCTATTATACCACAGCCATCAGCAAAAATTTCACACAACTAGTATGACAATTGATTCTTTTTTGAATTACGTGAGTCCCGAAGCTAGCTTCCACGTAACTCAATTAATCCCGCGGGAAAAATGCATGATCCTTCTTAGCTAAGAAGAAAATCGTAGGATTTTATCTTAGATATATGGCCAGCATAGGAATTAAACTTATTTCCCTAAAGTTCCTCTACCCTTCTCACGTGCTCCAACAACTAAGCCGATTTATGGTAATGTAGTAAGATCGGGGATTGAGTCTTGAAAACAAAGGACAGCCATCAATCCCACACTTTCCATCTACCAACAAACTTTTGACCATGATATACCCCAAAAGATCCAAAACGAATAAACCAAGTTATTTAAACAAGCCATGAGAAGAGAAACTTCTCCTCTCAAAGCAGACAAGCATACTTTTATCCAGCAATCCACTATTACTTTGAACTTAACACTAGTCAAATCATCGACAGAGCTCAACCTCTATGAACTCAAATGGAACTGAAGTTATTACAAGAAATTTACTCCAAGAGTTTTATGCTTGGAAAGAGGCCTCAAGATACTAGTTCAACCCAGAATTAATACGCTGCGATTTAGAGTTCCCTGAACAGAAGTATGTGTGTGTACTGGGAACAAAAACGTAAAGCAGGTGCCATTCCCATTAGCATGCTAACACGGTTGATGATCATGACTAGGCTAGCTAAGCAGAAAATTAAATCTTTTGTTTTAGCAATATGCAGAGTAACAAAATGGAGCATGGGGAACAAATCAACACATACATTGTAACATTAGCAATATGCAGATTAGCCAGAAGACAAGCAACTATTGCATTGACACAGGTTACTGTCAAGAAGAGCAAACCAGAAGCCCAGAATATGAGAAGCACCCAATGCTGCAAATGCAGAGTATCCACAATGACAAAACTGAAAAGATGATAAAAGTTGAGCAACCTGGGCATGCACTAAAATGAACATGCTTAACCCCAAACCCCCATTGAGTAACCAATTATCATGCAATAGTGAAGAACCCAATTACCAAACCCTTCAAAAATATGAAGTTGGAACAACAATCAAAAGTTAAAGAACAAAACATTAGCGGAATCAAGGAGTCCATGTATACAAAGTGGGAGGAAAGGGTAGATGGGGTAAGCTGAAATTGCAGGATTTGAGAAAGAGCGAAGCATATTGGGCAATAATAGATGAGTAAATTAAGGAAAAAAGAGAGTAAGGCAGAAAAATTAAGAAGGGTAGAAGGCATACCTGTGGATCAAAAGAGAAAACAGAGCATGATAGTATGTGATTGAGGGGGGGAGGAGAGTAAAGGGGCAAAAGAAGGTTGGAGAGTTAGGGCTCGAAGAGTTGGGGATGAGAGAGAGGGAGAGAGAAGAATGAAAGAGACAGATGTGGGAGACAAATGAATAAATAGAGAGAGAGAGAGAGAAGCACATACACACACACACAAATACGGAATCGCCGGGGTCATAGGACGGGGTTACACTCTGACATGGCAGAAGAGAGAGAGATTGACATTGTGGATTGTATACGTTGGTGTTGGGTTTTGGGTTGTTGTTGCTGTTGATGTTGTTGCTGTTGAAGCCTCCCAGGAATCCCAATCCACTGGATTCTCGCCACGTGTCATCTATACAGCCTTAACGCACTTGCCTTCAGCCACCACTTTGCCCACTTTCCTTTTTCCTTTTTCCTCCTCGCCATTCCCTCTCTCTCTCTCTCTCTCTCTCTCTCTCTCTCTCGCTTCCTCGAACCACACAGAGAAGAAACCCAAACCAGAGACGAACTTCTCTTCTCTTCTTTTATTCTCTCTTCTCTTCTCTTCTTTTAATCTCTCTTCTCTTCTCTTCTGCCTCATCCTCCTCATTCACCAAATCGATCGCCGCTCTTCAATAACAGATCGTCTTCTGTTCATGATTTTAACAATTCAGTTTCAAGCAGAGGCGGCCGCCATTAAAGCATTTCGCAGGAGGATCCCGTTTGCATGGCGGCAGAAGGGCGCGTAAGTTGGGGGAATTTGTATATTACTTAATGATGAGCCTGGAAATTAATGAAATTGCCTTTAATTTTGATCTCTGCCCATGCATCAACACGGAACACACATCCCGCCTACACTTACTTGCCTTCTTCCTCTTATTGCCCAAAATATAAATTATTTAGCCACAATCTGGATTGCTATCAATACCTTTTATCGACCTCCAAATATCTTGCTTTACATATCAAATGTGGCAACGCCTTCCCTTTAAAACTTTCAAAACATTTTTTCTAATAACGCCCCAAATTACGTCGGACCAACCCATATGTGATCAAATCAACAAAGCGTTTCATAATAAATTATAACCTATCACTTTATCAAAATAATAGATACACACATTTTATTTTAAAATTTTATGAGGTTAAATGTAAATTTAAAGGAAGATACATAGATTCTCCCTTCCATAATTGTTGAATTAAATAAACCATAAATTCACATTTTTAACCAATCCCATTCATATATATTATACTTTTTACAATAATTATTACGTTAATTACAAAAACATTTACATTTATATATATATATATATATATTTATGCACACCTTTTCAAGAAACTGTCTTTTTTTTTCCCTCTCTAAAAAACCCTTAGGTTGTGTCAACAATTATATTATATTGTTTCCATGCTTGAATTTCCTTCCAGAAAAATGAAAAAAAGAATATCCTTGGTTGGGATGTAAATTGTGAAACAACCTACCTCTGAGTCTCTGACCATAAAATGCATCTTACTTTTAGTCATAATATCACTTAGGTTCCATTTCGAGATGTTTCAACTTCTTAAAAAAAAAAAATCAGTTGTAATAGTATGTGAAAGTGGGAGAAGTCGAACTTTTAACCTCTCGATTGCATTATGTTCAAGTAGGTAACTTTTTTACCTGAAAAGTCTTCCTAGCTTCTAAATAAGCATATATTGAACCTATTCACAAGTATACGTAATAATCATACCATAAGTATAAGTATAGATGTGAGTGTTTGGAAATAGTTGGGTATTTGCCATTTCAACAAATTATTGCGAATGCATGACGTTTCCATCAATTTCACAAAGCTTACAAGTCTTTCCCTGGCCCCCATTTCTTCAATCTCACCACCACATCAAAAGCCCATTCCAACTACTTCCAACTACTTAGAACCTACAATAAAAACATTTAACAAGTTATAATTGGTAGAAATTAACATAATATTACACAAAGGACACCTATGTTTTAACTTGTACAAATACAACACTCAGATTATTGAACTACATTCAATAAAAGTAAATAGAATTATATTATACTCAACAAAATATTAAATCATATACAGTCAAATACCACAAACAATTTGATTTGGTAGTTGTAATACACAAACCATTTGTTAAGCAAATACTTAAGTCCTCTTACCTATGTTTTGTTATCCTCTTCCTTACAGTGTTTCTAAAAATCAAATCAAGTTTTGAAAACTAAAAGAAAATAGTTTTTAAAAACTTAAATTTGTTTTTAAAATTTGATTAAGAGTTCAAGTTCTTTTTCAACATAGATTGAAAATCACATCCGAAAAATTGGAAGGAAATGAATATAAATTTTATAAACTAGTATCTATTTAAATAATTATGAAGGCCGAGTGATTGATATTTTTCCAAGTTGGACCACTTCTAAAGTTTTTGGATGAATTAAGGGAAAGGGGGCATTGAGTGGCGACAGTACCTGAACTGATGGCTGAGAGCACTGTTTTATGTTCATATTGGTATTTCTTGCACCAATGCATTAGCCCTGTGCACGTACACCACAGTATTACTAATACCTGCAAAAGCCTCACAGAAGTAGATTAATTAAAATGCATCAACACTTTGTTCTGTGGCTTTCCTGAGCTGCGAGGAGACTTGAGTTGACATGTGGAAGAAAGAGACTGCCAACATATAGTACACTACATCTCTTAACCTGTTTGAAATGATTTTTAAAACCTTTAAAAATATTTAGAACGTCAACTTAATTTTGACCACAATTGAAAGTACAATCTAACCTAAAAAGTGCATTATGAATACAACTTAAGTCGATTGGGCCCGAGTCTAACAACGTCAGGTTGGTTCATCAACTCTTGCCATTAGCTTGACTTCAATCAACCCGAACCCAATTCAAATTATTAGGTTAGGTACAACTCCTCTCTAGGCCTAATTCAACTCATTTAAATTTGCCTCTCTGTGACTACGAGCATATATAATATACTCTTGCATCAGAAAGATGGAGGATTATGGAGATATGTAACTGATAGCAATGGCAAGAGTGAGCTCTGTTGACCACCTGTTATCATGAAAAATACAGAGCAAAAATAAAATTAAATAAAAATTAAATAGCAGTGTGGGGTAGCAAATCTAACAAATATAGACCTGGTATTTAGGTTGTCAGAAAATCAAACCACAGGGCTGCTCCGAGGTGGAACATACTAAGAAGTCCAAAACTTATCATTCATGAATCTAACTTCAGATTCCTTTGTACAACTGATATTTAATTGCGAGAAATGATGCATCTGAAAGTATTTTGGAGTATAACATAGAAGATCCGGATATTTTTAGCCAAAACTAAAGGATGGTATGACAGAAAATGCATTACATAGTTCTCAGCTTCTCACAAATAGCCAAAATATTTACCTAGAAGAGACAACTCAACGTATTGTCTAAGAAAACTATATCCTTCCGTGGCAATTCCAAAACACTAGAAAATTTTAATAATTCCATCACAAAAACATGAACTGATGTGAAAGCGACTAGTTGTATTGTCTTTGCTTGATTTATAAAAGATCGATGTTTTTCTTGTCATTAAATCTACCAAAAGTTATGTTGAAACTGGAAATCAAATATGCAGTAGGTCGGTTTATTCTTTTCTCATAAAATAATTCCAATAAAAGTCGCAATTACTATTCCGTTGCCCTCATATTACGACGAAAATGGCCCCCCATACAGCCATCATCTGTATGTGGCACAAAACTAGAAATTCTAGCCAATAAAAAGTACCTCAAGAGTATCAGTAAATACAGATGATGCGGCAACCTAAAAGACTAGAAGAACTCTAACCCAGTAATATATCCATAATACTAAGACTATTGTTTTATACGTGCCAATTAAGTTGCATATTGCCAAAAAAAATTCAAACACGTTACAGAACTAAAACAAAAGAGAATCAGTATACTGTTTACGTAAGACTAGAACTATGACTTGAAACATGAATTTCAGGTCCAGATAAGAATATGGAACAATGGAAGTAAGGCAATCTATATGTCATAATTGTACCTCCGTTCACCGCCACTTTGACCCAGTATGCGCCTCAGGAAGATGATGGAAAAGTCGCAGATTACGGAAGCTGGCAGGTTAGATTTGTGAATAAAAAACAATAAACTAAGACAAAGAATAAATGAACCTATCTCAACCCTCATGTTAATGGTACTGAGAATTCATCTGAACTTCACATTTACTCCAGAGAACCATTTTGCACGTCACCAGCTTGACCAGTTGAAAATGACAGATGAAGGTCCATCAGGCCTAGAAAATTTGTCTGAAAAAAAAGCCCCCATCAGACAGTTGTTCTGAAAAGGATGGCTGGGCTCTCAAAGTCGAAGGAAATAAATTTAGAAAATATTAATAAATACAACCAATTGACTGACTCTCTATCCCCACCAAAACATTAACAACTTCATCGATAATCAAGAATATGAATTATAAATACTCGGGCAAGAAGGGGATTTAACTTGAAACTAATAAATTTTGATAACCACTTCAGTTTCTAATTTCTACATGAGCTGCAATATACTATTCCGATTCACAAAAGACAATACTATAGTGACGTACAGTTAACTGTCATCCCTATGCAATATGTGGCCCAGCCAAATGCACGTGCACATTAAGTACCTGAACTTGCACATGTGACATTTCGTAGGTTCATATATTGAAGTGGAGTTCCCTCAACATTAGTGTAACCGAATCCAACCATCTTTTTTTAGGTGTCAAATGGCGTAACTCCTCCATATTTGAGCTTACGAGAACGAGGTATGGCTGTACATCTTTGTGTATTCATTACCTTTTTTTTTCTAGGATTCTATGAACTGGTCTGTCCTTCAATTCCATTGTATGCCATATCCCTAGAAGTTTAGAAGGATAGATACAAATAGAACTTAAATCAGTAACTCTTCTCTAAATTTTTAGAAGTCCCTAAAGTTGACCAAAAAAGACAGAGTTCAAAGTGGCTTCAACAGAAACATAAAACAAGAATGAGTTTTCAAAATCTAGCGACAGAAACATAAATCAAGAGGCCCCACCTAAACGCGTGCGTTTGTGGGATTTTTAAAACACATACTACCTCTAAAGCCATGATCTGTTCCCACACACTTGCATATGATTACAAAAATTTAAGTACACATCCCAGATTAAAGCAAGTCATACCAAAGTTTTGGCCAACGTACGTTCTCAAATTTCGACCATTGTTACTAAATCATTGAAACCATTCTCACCTTCTCACAAGCCAGATGAATGGGTGACAAGTAGCCTTCAGATCAGACACTTTAGTCAATCTCATGGAAACATTTACTTTAACCGATTACATCTGCAAGTCACCAACACATAATAGTTCTGCATCACCATCCTGCGCTACACTACTCTCGTGACTCTCCATTTCTTAATGTTGCTTAACCTGTGAAATAGTAATAGTATCGATGTGCTGAAGCAAGAGATGTTCATCCGCAAATGAAGAACTGAAAGAAAAGGGACGCGAAGGTTATTGCAGACACCCTCTATGCAATAGGAGATTCTAGATATAAAGCAGCTAAAATTAAACTAACCTCTCAAGTAGTTAAAATTTACTGAAGTCTCATTAAAACATCCATGAGATAAAATGCACGAATGCGTCTAATGGCTTTAAGAACATCTGGAATTCAAAGAACTAGTGCAGGGGAAATTATAAAGAGAATAGTATTACTTACAGGTTACCGCGGCCCAAGAGAGAGTTCCAATATCCAGGAGGGTGTCGTCCCTGATCTCCACGAATAATAAAGAAAGGTCTAATCATTCTTCAGTAAAAAAAAAAAAAAAAAAACAA